CATTGTATGAGGACTCATTGATAACTGTTAGATAATGTTAGCTGTGTGATGCTAACAGTTAGCCCTGTCACTGTGTGCAGTGGCAGACTCTCACCAACTGTTCCCAGTGCCAAGCTCACACTCTTGCAACAATATTTTCCGAATGACATTGAATGAAATGATGTACATGTAAGGGAGATCTAATGGTGAAGACACATTCTAATGTATACTGTGAACAGAAAGACCACGAGCTGTCCACTTGTGATCCGACCCAAGATGAATGATCATACCAGGTGTGAACAGGTAGCCGTAGGGTTATGGCTAGAAAGAAACCATCTTGTGTAAATATGATATCATGTACCCGTTGTAATCGGAGTGACTTGGGGGGACAGAAAAAACTTGGAAGGGCTTGGTATATTTTGAGGATGAAAGGTCTGACTGTTGTTAATGCGTATGCAGCAAACAGCAGCTCAAAGTATCTGATCTTCCTGGAGTGCCTGGGTGGGGCTCAGAAGAGGATGCTGCCTGGGGAATTCGTAACAGACATATTGTTTGATCATATGGTGGTTCATACAACAACACCTTAGGCCAAAGATCAATGATCAACTTTGATGTTATTTCATTTGTAGAGAATTTGCAAAGCTATGCATTTTCCACTATGCATGTAACCACTATAGGAGATTTAGTATTGTCTGTTCCTTCAGTTTAGCTTGGAGAGACAGGGTAGTCTGTCCAAGTTAGCCAAGACAGTTTGGACATGAAGTGCTGTAAAGCCGGACTGGTGGGGGATACAGAAGGTAGACAGCTGTATGTTTTGTATGTGCCCATGTCAGCACTGCAGCAAACCTTAACTCATGCCAGATGAATAATATAGGAACCATTTGTCCTGTCCCCGGCATGATTTTGAATATTTCACCATCTACAGACACTTGGGAAGCTGTGACACAAAGGGATTGAGTTTTCTGCTTTCATTTTATTTTTTATGTAAATAATGGAAGCCATCTCACTGTTGAACTGCTGTCTGTACATGTAAAGATGATTTCAGTTGTGAACTGGTACAGACTGTACAATGCTGTCTTTTCTGACCTCAGCTGCATATCTTGATGATGATATTTTAACATATAATGTAACAGTGTTTCACAGGCATGAAATGTCAGTGTGGGTGATGCAATTTAATTGAGTGAGTGGATGTTCAAGAAGTACATTCTGTACTGTATAAGAGGGAAAGATATTTGCCTAAAATTGTATTCTTTAGGGCTTTGTGGGTGTGTAGCAGCACCCTTACAGATATGTGCCCATTTTGTGGACTATCTTGTCCTCAGGTTAAGCAGGTTATTACATGCTGTGATGTCACGATGGCTGGTTTTGATTCCAGCCCAGTTGCCAACAGAAAATTTTGGCATTTTACATTTCTGCAATCCCTAAATACAATGCGTAGTATATGAGCTGACTTTTTCATTGGAAGGTGGAGGGGATGATGGATGGTGTGTTACCTTGGCAAGACAACTGCCAAGCTGCAGACCACTACAGACCATGTTCAAAACCAACAAACAACAAAACCAGTTGTTTTTTGTGGCTACATTTTCAGCAGCTGTTTAGCCACTAAACTTGGATGTTTTTTTAGCAACATGATGCAGAGTTTCCATCAGTGATAGGGCTGCAAAAAGCAACCATTTTTTGCTGAGACATCACTGCGATTTCTGTGGAGACTGTGCCACAAAAATAGTTGTTTTTTACGGAGACATTGCTGCGTTTCCTGCCAGCATTACAGCACCAGAAGCGGGTATTTTGAGCCAAAAAATGATTTTTTCCTAATCACAAGCAAATGGTTTTGGTGCCTGAACCAGTGTTGTTGTGAGGTAAAGAAACAATAACCTGCAAATGTAACATATTCATGGTTTGCAGAAATGTACAATGCCAACATTTTGCGACTGGGTTGTGTTTTAACCTTGAAAGTCTGTGTGTGTGTCGTCATGGCAAAATGTGGTCCTGGAGACACCTTTTATAGCAGGAAGCAGTTTTTATCAGGTGTGTCTTTGTACAAATTTTGTCACAGCGATAGCATCACAAGTGTGCAAGATGTAGTCACGAAACTTTACAAGTGTGTAGTTGAGGTCAAAATAAAGGCTAAGAAGTGTGATCTGAGCTAGGGGGTGTGATGTAGGGAAGTGGCCACTACCACCCCTACTTAACATTTAGAGGTACACGTCTACCTCGGATTTTCTTTAATAGTTTCTCTTGACTTCTCTGAGCTTATACATTTGGCAAGATCTATTGCTTTGAAAGTAAATGGCTCCACATTTTTACACGTGTCTATTGTTTTTCATTCAGTGGCTTACATCTAAGAAAAAGATGGTTAAGCTATTGAAGAATTCCTCTGAGGACAAAAGGACTCCATTGGAATTCAACACCTTGATCATGCCCTTATCTTTCCACATGACATATGTTCCACCTGCTTAGTGATCTAATTAAAACGTAGCTTTCACATCAAGACACCTGGTGAAGCTCATGTGTGCTATATATATATATATATATATATATAAATATAAATATAAAAGTCTCTACATTTGTACAAGGTTCACCAAACAGTTTGAAAATGCTCGTGCTACACAACTAATGTATTTGTTGGGCAGATGTATTCCAAATACCATTACAAGGCTAAATGCTAATTTAGCTCATTTATTCTCATCAGTGAATAAGAGTAATTACAGCTGCTTCGAAGTACTCTCACAGCCTCTTTGTTTTTCCACCCTCTGCTAAGTGAAAAGAGTGATTAGATTTAGATTATTGATGTAGCGGCTATAAATCTGCATTGGGTAAAGCCTTGTCCTGTTATTGGCCTCCTGGGCTCGTTCCCAACTCACTTAGCTTAAATTTATGTTCTACCTGTCCAACAAAAAGCCTTCAGGAGGAGTTTAGACATGCCCCTCACATTCTCCCACTGCTCCCAGTCTCATAATGTTAGTGGTAGATATGTACTAATGGACAATAATTGATGATGGTATGAGTCAGGGTGTTTTGTCTGGCTCTGGATGTGTGCTCATATAATGTTAAAAATGATGAGTATATGTCATTCGGAGTTTCTATGGGGGTCACAGCGTACTGAGAGGTATTAAAAAATATCATGCTTGTTCTGAATAAATTGATACATGTTCAGTTGCTGTCGTATAAAGCCTTTTACGGCTTCTGTAAAGGATGTCCTATTTTGTTTTGTCTGCCATGCCAGCAGCTCTATAAAGCTTGACTGTGCTTTGGGTGAAATAGCCACATTAAATTGTGATCTGTTGATGACACTAGAGGTCAGGAATCAACAAGGAATTACAGTTCATGTTGAGGAGGACATTAATGAATGTAGAAATCCATCCAATAGTTGTCAATATATTTAATGCAAAACCCCAAATGTCAACCTGCTGATGGCGCAAGAGGAAAGATCAGTGGATCACCAAGGATACGCCAGAACTGGCTGAAAAAATGTTAGCATTGTACGTTTCTGCAAACCACAGATACATTACATACATGTTACATTTATGTTGTGGATACACTGAAACCTTGTTTCGTTATTGTGTGGTTATGTTTGGGAACAAATACCACTTGGTTATGGTTAGGAAAAAAATCATGTTTTGGCTTAAGATACCCAGTTTGGGGGACACAGTCCCAACTTCATCACCACAGTGATGTCAACAACCACTTTTCATGGCTCTATCTCTGATAGAAAAAAAAAAAAAGGGTTAATAAAAAACACCCATGTCTGGAGCCTAAAAAGGCTGCTGGAAACACAGCAATGACTTGCTAAATCACAATCACTTTTGTTGTTTGTTGGTTTCAAACAGTCAGATGGTCTGCAGCTTGGCAGGCATCTCGCCAAGGTGACGCACCATCCACCATCCCCTCCACCTCCGGATGATAAATTCATCTTATATAAGACATTAATTTAGAAACATCGATGTGATATGTATGACAAGGTGCAAATGTAACATATTTGTCGTTTGCAGAAACATACAATTCCAACTTTTTCTTCCAATGACTGGACTGAATATATCTTTTATTTACCAGGGACTTCTTTACAAAAACGCATTGCTAAACGTTCAATAGCTGTTGAGATATTTCTGTCCAGGCAAAAATGTTGAATTACAGCCTGAATTGATCAACTGAAATTGCGATCGTTAGAGCCACTAGCATGGCTAAAATGTACCTTACAGATTTTATAAAGCATGGTGAAAGGCAGTTTATGCACAAAACATATACAGTATTTTTTCTTGGATTCCTTGATTCGTAGGCCAAGGTTATTCTGCCTTAACAGATTGTGTGACATTTTTTCTGGCATCAAAAATATGTATTACAAGTATTTCTGTTTTTATTCGGTCACCGTGTTCTTGAAGGTGTGGAAAATTTAGATGACAGATCCACATAGTAAGTAATCTGTAGCCACGATGGAAAGATATGCTCTTTAAGTGCTCTTTAGTTGACAAATACTAGAAGTTGAATGCACTTATTATGTTCTTTGAAGTTCTTGTTAAAGGCATTCAATTAGCCAGGACTGGATTTGTAATATTTCTGACGTGCTGCTTTTTACTACAGTGAATGCAGAGAGATACTTTATATCTAGCAAGAAAGAGTCCTCAACATTTGTAATTATAGTCTAAGAATGGCTGTCCTTTGATATGTAGAGTCCTTTGTTGTAATGTTCAAGGGATGATTTTTGTTCCTGTGTGAAATGTGTAATTTTGTGATTATGATGTCTGTACTTTGCTTTTTGGGTGTACATAATCCCTGTCTGCTTGAAGGACGTCTCGATGGCAGACAAACATGTTTGTTTAAGATGATCAGTAAAATTAAACACTGTCTGTCTGGATCTACACAAATCCCCATTGTCTCTACCTCTCTCTGTCACCTTCACTTACTGTTTATGGTCTGTCTTTTTCTTGGTATTTCTCTAGAACTCCTATTTTCCTTGCTTTGGGAGCTTTTTCTTTACATGCTGCGATACTGGTTTTACATTATCCATTCCTCTCTCCTCGTAGTGCTGATGAGAGGTTTGATGCTACGTTCCATACAAACGTGCTGGTAAATGCGTCAGGATCCTGCCAGTACATCCCACCAGGTGAGACATTCAAAATATATTCTCGCTCACTAATGACCCACTTTCAATTCATTTGCATTAGCTTGATCTTGTCACTGTATTACCATTACTTATAGTTGTTCTGCTGTATCCTCACCACCATTAGCAGCCTTTCACATCAAAAATGTTTCGATCATTGTGGTCATCTTTAGGAACACCAACATGATCACTGTCATTATCATCATCGCTGTCATCATTCTCCTCCTCACTGTTTTCTAACTCACTGACTGAAATGTTGCCCATTGTTTTGGTGATTTTCAGATACAAAGAGGTGTCAAGGATAAAACAGGCCAAATATTGAGAAAAGTGAAAGGTTTATAGGCACCAATATTTCATATAACCAATCTTTTCTAAATTGTCTAAAAACGACCAGCATTTTATATTTTGTTGAGGTCACTCACATTATCCCAAATGTTTACAGCGATGTTCAAACCCAGAGAAATCTGTAGTTTTAATATAGGACACAATCCATTTCATCACCTGTTAGGGGGTCATATCTCCTTTGTGCATGCTTCAGGGTTGTGGCTGTCATAAATTGACTTTTATCCAGTTTTAAGCCACATTTTTACAATATACTTTTTAGATTGTGGTCGTTTTTGGCTATATGTTTCAGCTGGTTGAAGGATTTTAATTCATCAGATGTCTGGATCTTACATTAGCAAAGAAACTAACTGAACAAACATCAGCAGCAGTTTGACTTCAGGAGCTGCTTTATTCAGTATTTTTACTGGTTTAAATCACTGGGTCGGTTTGTTTTGGAGAGCAGTAAATCTCTGTGGATGATTCGACTCCTGGTATAAAGTTATTGTGGAGGAAATGTGAGCATATTTTAGCGGGAGCTGGGCTAGTAGCCCCTCCACAACAAGCCAAACTGCTTTCTTCTCTTTCCAGTTTAAATCACTGGGTCTGTTTGTTTTGGAGAGGAGGAGCACTCAGCGGATAATTGAGCTCACGGTAAAAACATCCTGAACAATGAACACTGACAGAATCCTAGTCAGGACAAACTGACTGCATTGCTCCGTCTTTTGTTTTTGTTTTGATTGAGACCCCTAGCAGCAGAAAATTACACATTGTCATTTAACAGTGTGTCAACTACATTTCAATGCGTCTCTTATTGTAGGACCTGCCACAAGGTGAACACTATAGAAACAATAGTTATATGTAACCCTAGATTTCTGACTTTTGCTGATTACTCTGGTAACTTTTTAAACGAAAATGCTTACAAGTATGTCAAACTGAAAAACAAAAGCAAAAAATTAAGGTATTTTGATGGACAATTTGACGTTAAATGACACTGAAGTGTTTCTTGATCAACAGAACCAGAAACACTTTTGCCTGTCGGTCACTGGCATGTTTTGCTCCAGTCTCTGAGGCTTGAAAGAGTGAAATGACTCATACTGAAATGTACTAGTTACTTTAGATTTTAAACATATTAAGCAAATCACACACCGAAATAAGTGTTTAGTGCTTCCCTTTCATTACTTCCCTCAACACTTCTCTCTAGGCATCCTGAAGAGTACCTGCTACATCGATGTGCGGTGGTTCCCCTTTGATGTGCAGAAGTGTGACCTCAAGTTTGGCTCGTGGACCCACAACGGCTGGCTGTTGGACCTCCAGATGATGGATGTGGACATCTCGACCTACATACCAAACGGGGAATGGGATCTAGTAGGTAAGTGGAAAAACAGACAGGCACACTCAAACACATTCAGGTGGATGACAACAGTAAAACAAAATAAAAATTAAATCTAAGATAAGACCGTCCTTCAGTTTCTGGCTTGTTATAACACAACATATTTACCCATATTGCTTTTATGAAATGTGTGTTTATTTTTCTGACAGGATAATATTAGAACAAATGTATCAGTCGTCGTGGAGAAAGCTTTTAGCGGCTGTTTACTGAAGTAAATGTCAAAGCAGTGCTGTCAGACACTAAATATTTTGGTGATCATTTGGTATGGGTAAATATGAGTGCAGAAATCAATGTAAAATAACTTGCATGGTGACATATGAGGGATAAAGATAAGGTGTGAGAGCTGATATGATGAATGACTGACACCACTCCCAATATCTGGACGATATGTTTGCCATGCAAATTGTAAAAACCTTCAGGGAATCTGAAAGACTACTGTAACAGATTCTGAGACAGAAAGACAGACACTTTCAACATTAGCTTGGCCCTCCAAGTCATATTCCAGAGAGGCAGACAACCAGTCAGCATGACACAGCTCTGACAGCAGGTGATTCAGCGATGTCAACTTCCATGTAAGACGCTGCTCTCACTGACACTTCCCTGTCTATCAGTTCTGCTTAAAGATAGGCTGGAGAATGTTGTTTATTGCAGCAGTATCCACACAGTTTCCCCTTGAACTATTGCTTTTGATTATATATATTAATGTGTAAGTTGATTTCTTTGGATGATTGCTACCTAAAGAGCGATTTGTGTGAGAATTATGGGACTAAAGGTTGAGTGGCTCTCATGGTTTAAAACAAGTGGTTTTAGCTCGATAGAATTTTAAAGGAACAGTTTGACATTTTTGGAAATACACATTTGTTTTTTTGGTGGGAGATAGTTGGAAAGACTGATACTACTCTTGGGCCTGTGTGGTAAATATGAAGCTACTGCCAGCTGCTTACATTAACTCAGCATGAAGACTGACAACTGGGGGAAAAACCTAGTCTGGCTAAAGTGAAAATAACAATTTGTGTTTCTATCAGGGCCCAAGAATGCTGCTCAGCCTTGGTTTTTAATGAACTGCAAACAAGGTCAATTATGACTCGTTCTATCATGAATTTTTGATTCATGGAGGTTTTATACTTGTAAAACTTTCCTCAAGCTGAGAAAAGCAATTTAAAAATCTGTGATGTTATGTCATGTCTATAAGCCGAGTGAGAACTAGCAGGCAGAGCCAGCAGGAGAAACACTACTGCACATATCTAGGTGGCCACATATCGCGGAGGATTTTTTTGGCACATGTGTCAGATGAGCAGTTCCATTGGACTGATAAGGCGCCATCTTGGGAACCTAGTTATAATTATACATTCTCGGTTTTCATGGGGTTAGCCCATGGATGTATTAAGAGACCTGGATAAAGCATTGGAGGCGGGACTCCGTTTATTCCTATGAAAGTTGCTCAGTGGCACATGAAGCCAAAAACACTTTGAGTGAGAAATTGCCCAGATGATCGGTGGTGCTTCCGCATCATTGGACCCATAGAGAAAGAGACCTACTAGCCAAGCCGGCTACTTCTGATTAAGCACTTCGCTAACTTGAATTAAGATAACATGATTCAATCTTGCAGCTCTGCTAGACTTTCCAAATGTTATCAGACCCAATGGATTAAATCCTAATAGTGAAACAAGTCATTTCATTGATATACAGATGTCTCTTTACCAATATAAGTTTATGGGAAAAATGTTTTTTTTTTTGGGCCACTACGAAAATTAGCTTCAAAGCCCAGAGCGCTTCCTGATGGCCTGGGTTAGCAGCAGTAGCTTCCCAAAGGTTTTGCTAGTTTTCTGACGACCTTATGATGACAACACATCTCCAGGAAGTCACTGCTTTGGGGAAAGATTGTGTTCAGAATTGCAAACTGACATGCTGCCTAAGACTACCTAAACACTCAGTCTGTATGTACTGCATACTGCCTACTCAATGAACAATCAAGGGTTAGGGTTACCAACAGACTGTTTACACTTAAGTTAGCTCAAGCAAAATAATAATAGTCATAAGACTGCATCACATGATTGACAGACGCTCTGACCTGTCCAGCAGCTCTCACATCTCCAAAAATGTTGCAGCAGGTTTCCACACAGGCATTATTTGGATAAACTGGCCTCATATAAGAAAGCTAAAGTGTTACTTTCAATGCATTGTGGGACAGTTGAGTATGTTCAGTAAGGTCATGCCACATATTCAGAAATTGTTGCTAATCAAGTATGTATCTGGTTTTGTCTTGCATATACAAAATCCACATACTATGCAGCTGGAACACACTATATGCTTAATTTGACATCCTGCTTAGTATGAATAGTATGTTAGTATCTGTCTTCAGCTTCATATATACTGCACAGACAGAGTGGTATCTATCTTCTCTTTTATTTCAACAAGGGAGCAAATAAGTGTGTTTACTTTAACATTACAGTTTAAAAAAACAGGAATCTTCTCAGCTCAATTCATTTTTATTTGTGTCTTTTACCATGATCCTTTTGTAGTCCAAGTTTCTTTTGTCTCTTCTTATGAAACAAAGGAAGACAGAAATGGTTAAGTTCAAGATAAGATTCTAAAGGTAATATAAAGCTAATAAATCCTGCTCATTTCTTTGTTTTCTTTCTTCTCCCCTCGTTTGTTTTTTGTTATTTTTCTCCCCTCGTTCTCCCCATGTGGAAATGAAGTGCTCACATCATCTTTAACTCAAGTTTGGGTGTTAATCAGAGGCCAACAGTATAATTCACATTCACACACAAATATACTTAAACACAAAGTGAGAGTACCCAGCTGGCTGGGGGAATGGAGGGGCGTGTGTGTGTGTGTGTGTGTGTGTATGTGTGTGGTGACAGCTGGCCTCGGGATGGTTCACTTAATTCAGGCACGGTCAGGCGGCAAGCTGGCCAAGAACACACACTGTCCTGGTGCCTTAGAACATTCCCATGCCCATGCCGGCGTATGTATCTACACACACACACACACAGGATGTGGTGGTTGCATCTGCAGGTCTGCAATCCATCAAATTAATAGATGGTTAACAAAGGCTATTTCTCTTCAGCGTTCAAGCGACGCGGTTTAAATGAAATTAAATTGAATCCATGCAATTAATTTAAATTGCATTTCTATAGGAATAAACACTGTTTACACACACACACACACACACACACACACACACACACACACACTCTCTGGGCTTTTTTGAGTAGTGTATTTTAATTATATCACTGATTACATTGAACCAGGCCTCATTCAGAATCAGTAAACACTTGAACTTGTGAATGGCTGATACAGCTGTACGATGAGGCTCCATTACCAAACACTGATTTTTGACTTCGAGCTACAAATGAGTCTCCCTCCTTCTCTCTCACACAGACACACACAAAACACACACAATTCACTGATTGTGGCTTTTTAATCAAGGGGAAAAGATAACACTTTGAAATGACTGCGCTATGAAATCTATCAAAGTCCTGCTTTCTAATCTTCCTACACGCACAAATGCACACAAGTTTTACACACAAGGACTTTTTTGCATCTGACCGGACCAAGGTGACATTGTTTTCTTTTGTTGACCTGATGGAAAAGGCAGATTAGTCTTGTAAATGTGAATATGCCGGCAAGACAGATAAGGGCATGGTGATGAGCATTAGGGATTAATAAATGATTTAGGATTGTTTTGCAGGGATAGTGGGGTAATTTAAAGTTGACACAGAGTTTAATGAGCTTCTTGACAGGTCTTGACAGTTTCTCCTGCCCAAGCAGTGCTCTTCATTCTAAGTACAAGCACGTAGGTCTTGTGACTCAGGTTCATTGATTGTTCCTCGGGTAAACACAAAATATGGAGTACATGTATGTATGCATGTATAATATGCCCATGTTCAAATGTGAGGATTAAAGGATAGGTTCACATTTTTTAAGTCTATCTTAAAGGGGAATTCCACTGATTTTACACATCAAAGTCTGTTTTCAGGCGTCAGGTAGTAGGCTATTACTGCTTATGTGGACAAAGTTGTTTAAAGCCATTTGTGGCTCCAGAGGGAGCTGTGTGAAGTCTGATAAATCTCTAATGTGATGTCACTTGAGTCAACATTGGTTGAAGAATACGAGTGTGAAAATGAACAATAAATTGGGGGCATAAAGTTAGAAAGAAGCAAGGTCACTAGACTTCTGAAGCCCGCTCCTCATCTCTGCTTGAGGCTACACTAGCCGCTATCTGTCCTGGACATGGATGTATAAAGACACAGTGTTGGAGGTGGGGCACCATTCATTCCTGCAAAAGTTGCTCAGAGGCGCATGAAGCCAAAAAATTTGACTTCACAGGGTTTTAAATTATTATCATTGTGCATACAGACCAAGACCACTGGAGACTTCTGCCATGCCAATGGCTAACTTTTGATTTAGCCCTCTGCTAATTTGAATGGGGATAAAATGACTTAACCGTGTGCCTCTTTTAGACTTTTGCTAGCATCTCGTGTTAGCTCACCTGGCACCACTGAGCTAGCTGACTTTACAGCTCAGTTGAGGAGGACGCACAAGCAGGAGCTTCTCGTCCATGAGTAGATGCACACTTCTGTCTGCACAGTGGTATTGTTGGAGGATGTTGTGCAGTAGTTCCACCTGGAAAGAAAAATAGTTTTTTTGACTGCTGAAGCAGCTTGTTGCTGTGGGAGTTAAACGTGTGGATGTTTTTGAGTATCACTGGAAACATATTCAAGGTTAATTGACACTGACAAAGGTTCAACAAGCAAGTTTGACTCAGACTTTGATTCATTAGACATGGTAACAATCAGTGCATCACTTAAGTCATCCTAGTGCAGCATCTCAGTGGCTTAAAGTGTTGGCTTAGCCTCTACAATAGTTTCTGAACAAAGACATTGTTGTTGTTGAGTTTTTCAAATGAATTTTTTTGGCACTTTAAGCAGCACAAGCCGAGTCTCATCTAGTTCTATTATATTGGAGAGAAGTCAGACATCTCTACAGCTTATATCTCCAACACTTGGCAACTCACACCAAAATAATTTATACTGATAAATAGCACTACAGGTAAGAGGAAAAATATGAAGATTTAATTTTGGGGTGAACTGTCCCTTTAATGTTTTTTTTTTTTATCTTGTCTTATTGACTTTATTGTGCAATTTGTAAAGCTCTTTAAACTGCTATTCAGTATGAAATGTGCTATATAAGGAACTGTTGCTGATGTTGGGCTGTAAAGTCCAGTGAACACACTGGACGTGAGATTGGACTATACATGAACCTTGTCTACAAATCACCTCTGTGGTTACACAAAACACGTCTAGACAGATCCAGTGAGGATAAAGAGCTTAAGAGCAACAACTGCCTATCAGTCAGTGTACAGAGTTAGAACAGAAAGGCTGCTCTCAAACAGGTGGCTGCCGTCGTAAAAAAAAAAAAAAAATTAATTTGCTGCAGAAAACATTTACGACTCAAATGTTTAGACAACAAACCACAACAAGCTGTGCTTCATTGTGATTTTGGACCAGCTTAAATGTGCTGTTCTACACAAGGTGAAAACTGTGTTGGGAGGATTATTACTTTATATAAAAGATTACATCACTCTATTATGTACAGTAATCATTTAGGCAAGAGTGCACTGCTTTTTTTTCAGCGACAAGCTGCTTTCCACACTGTTACCAGGACAATACATTAATGTTGAAATCCTAATCTTCCTAAAAACACAACAACTGCTCCAACTGTGCTTAGTTAAAGTCTGGAATTTAGATTTTGTGGCATCTTTGAGTGACTGACATTAAATCCATAACCCACTGTATTGTACATGATGAAATAAAAAGGACAGGGGTGCATTTATCATTTCATTTTCTCTCTTTATGTCCAAGGATTCAAACCAGTAACTGTCTGCCCACAAATCTACCCATTCAATCACGTTTAAATGCCACTAATAAACATGTATTAATAATGATTGTAAACTGATCCTCTCTGCCAACCGCTCAAACAGCCACAGCTGCACCATTACCACTTATTTTATAAGATCTTAAATATTACTCAGCCAAGCAGAACTGAGAGCTGGACTTTTATTTTACAGTTCTATGTGTTTTACCTTTGATTTACACCTTCCCATCTTTTCTTTTCTCCCCCAGGTGTGCCAGCCAAGCGTAATGAGCTGTACTACGAGTGCTGTAAGGAGCCCTACCCCGATGTGACGTTCACGGTCACCATGCGCCGCAGGACACTCTACTACGGCCTCAACCTGCTCATCCCCTGTGTGCTCATCTCTGGCCTGGCCCTGCTGGTCTTCCTGCTCCCTGCTGACTCTGGAGAAAAGATCTCACTCGGTACAGGGCAGGACACACACATCAGTCCATCCCAGCACACATACAGATTCTCTCACACTAACACAGAGGGACAGTGATTCATGATTACAATCATACATAGAGACAAAAATGTATTCCTCTCCCCCGCCTTGGTGATATCAGCCCACCAGGTCCCGACACTGTTGCTAACTCATTTATTTGTCATTGCTCTATGCTAATGCTGGCATTATGGCTGGGAATTAGCATTTGAGTTGGATTTTACTCATTAGCGGATGAATAAAAGCTCCATTATAAACACAGCAAAGATAATCACCTGGACCCGAAAATGTCAGCTAGTTTCAAAACGCCATTCAGTGAGACGGGGTCAGAGTAAATATATAACTGCAAGTAATCCCTAGAGGGTAGAAAAGAGACTGAATATTCTAAAATAAATCCACAGCTGATTTCACCTATTTTGAAGCGACCAGCTGCATTTATTTTGAGTACTCTCAAGTCACCATTTAAGAGCAAACTAGGCTGTGATGAAAGAATTTATCCTTTGTGTTTCTGCTCTACTGTCGTCCTCCAGGCATCACAGTGCTGCTGTCTCTAACAGTGTTCATGTTACTGGTAGCAGAGATCATGCCTGCCACTTCAGACTCTGTTCCTCTGATTGGTAAGACACATTTCTGTTTTAATTGGTGCTCAGTGTGATTATTGTCTGGCTTTCAAAGTGATGAAAAACAAAGAAAAACAACTGAGATGGATCACAAAATGAGCAAGGGCTTATTTCCTAACAGTTAGCTATTTGTGTCAGACGTGATATTTACTCATAATAATAGATAAACACTGGAAAAGGGCAAACAGCTAACCTGGCTGTTTCCAAAGGTTAAAAAAAAAATCATCTCTGCAGCTTACTAATTCCCTCAACATTTTCAGTGTCTTTCTATATACTTTGTATGCAGTTGTGTAAGCCTGTAAACGTGTTCAAGTAGAAAGTATCGACCCAAAAATAAGCATAACAAGTCCTCTAACCACTTTGGGAAAATGAAGTGAGACAATGCAGAATGTGGGCAAGTATTCTACATTAATGGTCATGATTTTTAAAAATGGTGGTGTCAGTCTTTTTGCAAGGAAAATAAAAAGGTTATATTTCATGTATTTTTCACCTTGTACCTGAATCTGACCTTCATTAAGGAGCCAGACAGGCTAAAAAGTGCCATACCATAGTTGGTGGGTCAGTGTGTAGAGTTTTCCCCATTAACTATAGGTTAAACTGCTGAGATATTCACACCTCATATTCACCACAGGGCAGCCGTTAGCAGCTGGGTGTGGGAGGTTGCTGATACAGGATGTGGAGATTATCCTCAGAGCAGAGGACCAATAGAGTTGCATGGAATGAAGCCATGCTGATACAGACTATAGGAGACGAGGCAGCCGCCCATGACATGGGAGGGGAGGCTGCAGACAGAAATGCTGCTCAGTATCATTTGGCAGCTCAGTGATGTAAAACGAAGCCATTAGCAAACTCACCTTTATTGGTGTAGACATATTAACACATTGTAGGTGGAGCGGAACTGATAGATTGAAGACAAAATAAATACTCCTCAAGGTTCACAATGAGAGCTCCAATTATACTTTGACATGGAGGTGTATACAGAAGCATTTGATTGGTCCATCTTTATATGCGCTCACTGATATCAGAGCCAGACCAAAATAAAACATGACCAATTTTTGTTTGAAGGGGAATATATCTCCTGTTTGTGTGTGTTTTGTGTGTGTGGTGGACCGGGTAGCGTGCTTGCCTACATGCATATGTTATGCATTTTCATGTTTCCGTGGCTGCAAATACCCGCGAGTGTGTATCTATGTTTTGGTTGGTTTGTACATTAGGAAGTAAAACGTTAGTCATCCTCCCACCACTCCCTGTGGTGGTATGACCTCAGGTCTGTTGACAGGGATAAACTCCCCACTGACTAACCAACCAACCAACGGGCTGACTCGGCAGCAGTCCTGCCAAAATACAATGCTTACCTCTCATGTTTCTCCTCGGACTGTATGTAGATTCATGAGCTTTTCATTCAGAATTACACTTTTACACTGTATTAGTTGTTCTCTGTCACAAATGGAAGTTACTCTGCTGTACTTATGTGCCTTTTCTCCTCTAGCTCAGTACTTTGCCAGCACCATGATGATTGTGGGCTTGTCTGTGGTGGTGACAGTCCTGGTACTACAGTTCCACCACCATGACCCCCATGGAGGGAAGATGCCCAAATGGGTAGGTTAACAATAATTTTTTAATCCCAACAACTGCATTATTTTCAAATAACCACACACCTTATTAATATTGGTACACTTAACTACTCATGTAGGCTGTTGCTAAGCTATAGCTGTCCTTTGTTGGAGTAATGCAGTAACATTTATTCAAAGGTTGACAAATGTATTTGTTATTCCAAGTGTGAGTTAACAACACTTTAACTGTTTGTGAGAGACCATCATAAGCAGAAATATCCACCAACAGTGCATTTACTTTGTATTAACTGTACAGTTATACAGTACATTTAGATTTATTTCTGAAGGTTTATTTTATCTTAAGGTTTGACAAAGCTTTGTATTACATGAAGGTTTCCACCAATATTAGTGATGGGCAAAAATGAACTAACACATCAGTATGTACTGGGTCAGCCTGTCAAATGTGTCAATGTGTTCATGAATTTTATTAACAACATGTTGTTAATAAAGGGCAAAGGAAACAGATCAGATGAGCCACAAAAATGATCGGGAACTTATTTTTCAGATTATTCTGACACATGAATGCAGCACGGATCTACAGAGGTAACTGGGATGTCTGCTACTTGAATGGCATGTCGGTGGTCAGTGGCATTTCTGTAACCTTGTATTGAGCTTACATTGCCTACCTACATACAGGTGGGATGCTGAATCAATACATTATAATGGATATTTTACCATTATCAATCATTCTGCCCATCACTACCCAAAATATGAATCAAGATCATAAAAGCAATTCATCATTAGCAAGATTATATACTGTGAACTACACAGTTATTAAATAATAATGCACTCTATGGAAAGGCAAATATCACACTAACAGAAGTATGGGGGAGTAGAGGTTCTATTTTTTTTTTTTGTATTTCTATCTTCTGGCCTCTGTCTGTTTTTCATATGAATTTAACACTTATATTTTGGTCCTTAACTCACCAATCTGTCTTCCATCTCTCCACCTTATCTCATCTTTTCATCCAGGTCCGAGTTATCCTTCTCAACTGGTGCGCTTGGTTCCTCCGCATGAAGAAACCTGGAGAGGAAAGCAGAGCAGCCATGAGCCCCCAAAACTACAAGTACTCCCACCCTCCTGCACACCATACCAGCACCAACAGCATTCAGATGAGCACCATACCAGGGCAGGCATCCACCCAGTCGACCACGACCAACGGGAGCATGAACCTGTACTTTGGCTACCACTCAATGGGCACAGACAACCCTGCTTTCCCACCAAGCACTGATTCGGGTGTGGTGGTGTGCGGTGGTGGTGGAGGTGGCCATCCTAACGGCTCCTCTCCACATGACATCCACTCAGAACAGACGCGGACTTTGCTGCTGGAGCAGGTTCCGGAAATTTCCCGGATCCTGGAGGAAGTGCAGTACATTGCCAGACGTTTCCGGGAGCAGGACGAGGGGGAGGCAATCTGCAGCGAGTGGAAGTTTGCAGCGGCTGTGGTGGATCGGTTGTGCCTGGTGGCTTTCTCGCTCTTCTCCATCATCTGCACCTTCACCATCCTCATGTCAGCCCCCAATTTCATTGAGGCTGTGTCCAAAGACTTCACATAAGGTTGATCTCCTCCCTCTCTGAGAGGAAAAAGAGAGCTAACATTAAAAATCCTGACATGATTACAACTGTGCCACACAAGCCTCCCTGCTACGACAACGTGAAGCCACACAGTTATTTTAGAAGTGTTGTTACAAGTCACCAGAAGCAAACCTTTCCCTCTATCTTCACATATTTGTCAGTAGTATATGGTTGTTTGGAGATGATGTGATTTTTCCCATTCAGGGTGGCTCTCCTTGCTAACACTGCACATAAAGTATACCTCAGTATGCAGGAGGCTGAGGCTACATGCAGTATTTAATGATGTAGAAACTCACACTAATGCACTTTCATCTGTACCCCTGCTGTACCACATCATTTACCTGCCACCACCTGGGCTTCACATCTCATCAGAATATATTGCTAACATTCCCTTCTCTTACAGCTCTTTTTTCTGCTATTTTCCTCACTTTTTCCACTTCCTTTCCCATGTGTCGTGCTTCTCATCTTCTACAAATGTCTTAATGTCTTCAGCAGTTACATACAGTACAGTCAGTAGAGTTTTTGCAGGCCTGTATTCTAGTGATTCTACATCTCACTTTATAAATATGGTGAAGCTGAGATTAAATCTTTTTATTAAGTTGTTGAATTTACTGAGAGCTGCTGACCTGTTGACTCTGTACGCCTGTGCATCTCACTTCTCTTTAACTAGAGCTGCAACTGTTCGCTTTCATTTTAAATTAATACACTTATAATTTTCTTGAGATAGTGAAAAATGCCTGGTAGTTTTCTAGACTCAAAGGTGATGTCTTCAGATTGCTTGTTTTATTCACACAACAGGGAGTGATGAGGCCAGAGTCTAGATGCCAATCTAGAGTGACACCTGCGAGCTAGTTCAGGCTGTCAACTCGAGCTGCATTGATTCATACATAGACGTCATAGGTCTACAAAACACACCCTCCCAATTTGGCGGTCTATTTAAGCTGCAAAATCTTCCCAGCTCTCCCTCTGCCTTGTCTATGCTGCTGCTGCCCTGCATCAGCACTGCTGCTCACTTTCAGCCCTACTTCCATCCCCAACATCCACATGCAGGCTCCGGCTAAGGGGAGAAATATTTAATAATCACTCCCCAATATCACATGTAAACATACCTGCGGGAAGCGATGAGGCCGTAGTCTAGATGCCAAACTCTATGTTCTGCTGTTGAAATAAACTTTTAAAACATGAGTTGTCTGACTGAAATGGAGCAACGCCTGCAAGCTAGTTCAAGCAGTCAACTTCACTGATTCATACACACACGTCATACTTCACTCTCCATGTTATCTACAAAACACACCCTCCAAATTTGGTGGTCTGTTAAATTAATTTTTCAACCCAGTTGCCGGGAAAAAATATTGGCATGATAAATCTCTGCAAACCATGGACATGTTGAATTCATTGGTTAGATTACTGAGTATGAAGTGAGTACATTCTCCTATATATTCCAGTTACTTTTTGGCTGATGGGATGGGCCAGAAATAGAAGTGGGTAAACCCCGTATACTTGCACCTTCATTAATTCCCTTATTACATTTGACGTTTCAACAACGCTGTGGTTAATGTATTAGTGATGTCTTGGTAAAAACAACTGCTTTGATGGGTAGCAACAAAGCACCCACATTTGGCCTAAAAAGCCAATGGAAACACAACAATGACTCGCTAAATGACAATGGGTTTTGTTGGTTTTTTTGGTCATAAACAGTTTGACTGCAGCTTGGCAGGCGTCTCTTCTATGTGACACACCATACACCATGCTTTCCACCTCCCAATGACAAAGTCAGCACATATGTCACTTTAAAAATGCTGATATAATATGTATGAAATGTGCAAATGTAATGGACTTGTGGTTTCCAGAAACGTATCCTGCCAACATTTTCCTCTGGCCACGGGGCTGCATATATGAAAAAGACAAGCATCAATTCCTGACATTTGAGGAGCTGGAAACAGTGAATATGTTTGCTTGAAAAATGACTAAAACAGTTTGTTAATAATCAGAAAAAGCTACCGATTAACTGTCTCTTGATGGACTCATGTTTCAGCTGTACTTTAAAGATCTCCATCTTATCTCATTTTTCCCATTTGTAGTTACTGGATTGGTCCTTACTCACCTCCTTCTTGCCTTCCAAGTCATTCTCATTATTTCCTTGCACTTCCCTTCTGGCACATCTTACATCCAGGTGGTTCTATATCCATAAATGTGAAAAGATAAAGTTTTACCATCGGCAGTAAAAGTCATACTTCACTATGACATCAGAGACATTTACAGTTTTGCTCTTTTCAAGACAGTTTATTAAAGCGTGAAGTAATTTCAGAGGGGATCTCCCAACATTTCTCTTTGCCATCATCCCTTGTGCTAAACAATGTAGTTAGTTAGCATATGATACACTCTGACTATTTTTAAATCACTAACATTAATTAGCAATGTATTTTTCTTTTGAGAGTAATGTTTATCTGACTTGTGTGCAAGTTACACAATGTGCTGCTGTATTCGCAGAAAAGCTCACAATGAAGAAAGAAGATCAGTGCAAGTAGTGATTGAAAGACTATTTGTTCTTCTGAGGGATTTTTAAACAGATTCTGAGGGGAAATCACCCCGTTAGGGACACATTCGGTACTAATCTTTTGTAGTGCCGAGTGCTTTGTGTTTTTACTCTCTAATACTCAGCGAAAGGCAAACACTTTCTTCTCTAATCTCTAGCAACAACATGCAACAAGGATTACTGGGTGACCTTATGTAACAGATTTGTGTTAAACCTTCTCACTACCCGAGCATCCCCGCTGATCCTCAGTGGTACAAGACACGCATGAATTTCCACTTTTACGCACGCAAGTGCACTCGCAGACTTCTCCAAAACTCGCACATGGCCATTCTAAGTGGAGTTTTAAGAAGAACCGAGGGGGAATAAAAACATCAAAATGCTGGACACTGCGTGACTGCTGCAGAAACAGCCACTGAAATGGAATTCATGCTGTTACAGTTAATCAATGGGCCGAGTGAAGACAAACAGCTGCCACCCATCGACTAGCCTACCACTCTTTGACTCCAAGACTGTAAAGCATTTAAATGTCATGTCCACTTATAATGGACAAACAGGACAAGGTGAAGCCAGTACTTTGCAGAACTCTGTGTTCCTTCATTTTTTATCCAGCTTTGAAGTTTTAATCTTCATACCCCTTTTTTAATTTCCAACCAGAATGTGATTTTTTTTTGTTTTAAACAATGCAAATATGGTCAGTCTTTTATGTAATGTAATGGTATTAGGTTAAAGGAATAGCTCCATGTTTAGGGTTTCTTGTCAAGAGCCGATAAAGATATAACTCTAATGTGTGTGTGGTTAATACAAAGCTACAGCCAACAGCCAGTTAACTTAGCTTAGTGTAAAGACAGGAAACAGGGAAACACTACTTAACCCAATTAGTTGTTTTACTTATTCTTCTGTTTTTGTATGGATTAAACAGACAATATATAACTTGATTGCTTTAGTACAGTAAATATGAGACTACAGCAAGTAAGGGAGACCGGGGTTGGCTGGTACACTGCTACTTTCTGGTCCTTTAAAGGTCACAGCAAAAAAGATGTAACATCAAAACCTACTGTGTTAAAACATCTGACAGTCATTAACTTTTTTTTGGCAAGGATAACATTTCAGTTTTATGGTATTGAAAGTAAAAAAGTGGTCTGTGGACTAAATGCATTGTAAACTGTGTTAGACAGAGATACTGGAAAAGTGTTACTTTTAGTTAACAGACATAACAATCAGCTACATTTTAATATAAGATCTGAAAGTCTCTGACAAGTGATGTTTGCTGGCTAACATAATTTTCTTCACAAAGTTGGGTCAAATCTGAGCTTTGTTGGTTGGCACATGTTGCAAAATTAACAACTGTAACCCGTATTTTCAGAGATTTAAACTATTTGATTGATTAAAAACAATATTTATCATTATTAGTCCATACCCATTGAGTACAGCATTCCATACCATGACTTAGTCATACCAAAAATTAGAAAAAAACAACAATATTGGTCCACAGGGGGAGCCGCAGTGATCAGTCTCATTTCAGCCATTTTTAAGCATTTTTCTGTTATTATAGCGCCACCCAGTTGCCAATTATAGTTAAATTTCTCCAGTCACCTTGAGGCGTCCTGTTCTACATATCTACCACGTTTAGTAAAAATCGATATGGCGGTTAGGCCTAGATAAGAAATTAGCTCTGTAGCGCCCCCATTTTGTTTGATCGGGTCAATAATGGAGGGGTCCCCTCAGATTATGTGTGGTCATATGCCTACAAAGTTTTGTGGTGATCGGTGAAACCCTTAAGATGTTATACACCTTTATGTGATGAGCCACGCCCTCCGCAATATTCATTGCCTTATAGAAGCTCAGTTTTAGTAAGTTTTCCAACTTTTGCCAAGAGGGAACTTCAGATATTGGTCCCTAGATTATGTTCACCCAGTTTCATGCAGATCGGTCAAACTTCCTAGGAAGAGATCGATTTTAACTGTTTTTCAAAAAACTCAAAATGGCAGAAAATCTATATAACCGTAAGTTATGGGTTCTTTAAGCAAATGTGTTCCTCATGAGGAGAGGCATCTCTGTGCAAAGTTTCATGTCTCTACGACATACGGGGCATGAGATATGCCCATTCAAAGTTTGCAATTTCAATCGGTTTCTATAGCACCCCCCTTTGGCCAATTGATGTAATATTGCTTCATTCACATCCTCCCATGACCCTCTACCACTGTGCCAAATTTCACATGGACTGACCAAGTCAGTGAGGAGAAAAACATGGAACAGACACACACACGGACACACCTACAGACACAGAGTTTTCGTCATTATATAGTAAGATTATCATTTTTAATAGTCAATGGCAAAGTAATTAGACATTACTATGAATGAGTTGCTTAAAAATTGTTTTTTGTAGATAAAATGGGTACATATAATAATAAATGCTCATGTTTCTGGTTCTTGTTTGAATTAAATGCTTAAATTGTTTCTACTGGGTGCCAACCAACCTTGTGACAGTGCTGGTTTGTACAACTGCTCATGGATTTAATAACAAATCACCTCATTTTTTAGAAAACATTTGTGTACATTAAAACAGGTGAATTTATAACTTATACCTTAACCTTTTCATTTCCTGCTGGTTAGAATATAAGTATGGCAGAGAGTGAAAAGTGTGCCAACCAACCCCCGCTTACTTTAGCTTGACACAGAGACTGGAAACAGGCAAAAATGACAGTAACAAGAGAAGTTCATTACCGCTATTATATTAACCGAATGGTTAATATGAAGCTACAGACAGCAGCCAGTGAGTTTACCTGACTGGAAAAGGGGGGAAACAAAATGTATTGTTTTTACACCTCTGTTGTTGTAGCAAAAAGCAAAAAAAAAAGTTTTTCCCAAAATGTACAATTCCTCAGATATTTGTCCATTTGTCGTTGAACATTGTGTAGATAATAGATTGCAAGTTGCAGGGGTTACTGTGTACAGTGAAGATGAAAAGCTGAGCACTGATGATCCGAGAAAACAAAGCTTTTTTTTTTGATAAAGGAATTCATGCTAGATTTAAATGTATGTAAATGGAAAGCGAGGTCTTGGTTGCTGTATGTATGTTATGTAATAGATTGAGGAATAATGCAAATCCTTGCTCACTAACTCATTGGAGATGTAATGACTTGTATGAGATGTGGAGTGAGAAGTGTTTTCTGCATACATGTGACTCGGACTGACTTATGTAGATAGTCTGTGAGATAACCTGACCCATTTCTATTGTTACTCACTCATGTTGATGTCTATTCAGCATTTGATTTTCATGTGAGAGGCATTTATGGCACTAAAAGTGATCCAAGTGTGTCAAATGAAGAATATGGAAACTTGTAAATGGGACTTGCGGAAAATATGAAGAGAGAATTCGGTGTTTGGGATACAGTAAAACACATTCTGCTGCTGACAAGTCAAAGCTATGTTGAAGCTGAAACCACACTCAAAATGCAGTGTTGCAAATTCAATGCTAAAGGATGAGGGTGTGACCGTTTACTTTTGCCATGCTATCACATTTTTTCTTCGATCACCAGTGTTGTATTTTGGTCAACTTGAGTGTCTTTTTCTTTGTGGTCTGTGCCTCTTTGCTCAGTATGATTCCTTCTCCTTTGAAGGATGTACATAAATGCTCACTGTACATGACTATTTTGAGAAAAATAAAGGAGACATATGATAATTACTGGCAACTGAGTGGCCGACATGCTACTATTCACCAGATAATACATTTTAAAGTGCTTTCACTCACCAAAGTTGTCAGAGCATCCTGGGTTTCGACAGGGATGATCTGACAGGACAGACATCGTAATGGCAGCTTGTCATCTCATGCTGGTTAAACACAGCATGTGATTGTCATAATATTGTTCCCATACTTTACTGCCCTTGCAGTGTGTTCTCTTGTGCAAAGCTAGACAGCCACACAAGGCTTGACATTTCTTGTATTTTGGTGAAGTCCGGTTATCTTTTTTTTATGACTTTTGTTTGAAAAACTGAAACACTACAGAGATAAAAACACAAATCATTACAGTATTACTACATAATTCCTGCCAAACTATGAAGCAAGAAAATTACTATACTGCGTGAAAACAGCTTACCAAACATAATAATGAGCTACTGCTGGAAATGCTGGCTAGCAAGCAAAACAACAATAACATTTATAACATGACATTCCTTTTAAAAATTCAAATGTCTGATAATTACAGACATATATTTCTTACAGACAAATCATCTCCAAGGCAGAGGCACATCAGAAATACATTTAGGAGCATGTGCTAACCTCAAGAAGGTGCTTGACAGATGAATTACCCCTACCTGGCTAGTACATGGAAGCTATACTTTAATTTCTTAACGTTTCCTTTTTACTAATTTAACTTATAACTTATTTAAATTTAAATTTAATTTATTTAAATTACCAAACAAACAAACAAACAAAAAAACATTTCCCATAGACCACCATTATAAAAGAAACATCTGGGAAACTTGACAGGACACCTCAAACTGCAAACAAGGTAAATTATGACTTCTTCTATTAGATTTTTTTGATCCATGGAGGTTTAATATTTGTGAAACTTTCCTTGAGCCAAGAAAAATTATTTAAAAATCTGTGATGTCATCATAATGTAAAGTCTATGAGCCGAGCGGGAACTCACTGTCAGAGCCAGTGGGAGAGACACTACTGCGCATACTCAGTGGGCGGCATGCGAAGGAAGTAAACCTGGAAGCTAGAACGTTTTTTGGCGTATGCCCCGGGCAAGCAACTCCGTTGTAACGAATAGTTGCAATCTTGCCATTTGGTATCTAGTTATTAATACATCTATGGAACAAAATGATTAATGTTGCGGCTGTTCTAGACGTTTCAAATGTTACTAGACTGAATGGATGGGATCATAATAGTATAATGGGTCATTTCTCAGGGGTTGTGATGCTTAAAAAAAGTTATCTGCAGATGTCTCTATGGGAAGTCTTTTTGAGCCGCAAAGCATAACTTGAGGGATGTGATTAAACTGTTTGGCCACTTTGAAAATCGCCTTCAAAGCCTGGTGCACTTCCTGAGGGCCTGGTAAGGACTAGTTTGTTGTAAAATGACACAGTAAGTGAGATAGAAATGTCAGCAACAGAGCCCAGCATCCCTTATCTTGATTTATGAAACCTGGCAGCTCTCTGTATTGATCAGTTTTTTTGTTCCTATCCTTTTTTTTTTGTTTTTATTTTGATTGACAAAACAGAATTGACACATTTTTCCAGTTTCAACACTGCCTCATACTTACTGAAGATTGAACTATTCATTTGATTTCAGCTGTATATTTACATCTCAAGCACAGTGAATCCAACCATTCAAAGGTTTTCTGTCTTGGGAACAGTATTTGTAAATGGTGTGTGTGTGCTCCATCAATAATGTGCCTTTCAGGTGTGCATGTGGCCAGATATAGTGGGATTAAAGTTAAAGGATAGGTTTCAGACTACTGCACGAAGTTTCTGCATCCAGAGCTGATAGATTGACGTGAGCTCAGACGTGAAAATGTAAGGGCGAGTCGTTAGCCAGGAAGGCTTAGAAACCTTCCTCATTTCCCAGCAGGAATGAATGACTGAGATACTGTGGGCCAAGTCAGGAGGGATCCAATCTCCTCACTGATATTAGACAGGACATTTGGCAGCTCATACCGGCAAACATGTGCGCGTGTGCACACACACTAAATGCTGCTCAGCAGAGTGATGACATGTTCAAATTGGTCAAATCTAATCTCAGGCTTCACTACGTGCAGACAGACAGCTGTTGGTGGCTGGAATTGTAGCACACTGTATCAACCCATGCAAACACACACACACACACACACACACACACACAAATCCAAAAACCTTCCATTTGCCAACAGACCACGCGGACAGACAGCATGTCCCCGCTCCACCCTGCAGACTGTCCTAGTGGTTTCCCTTCATTTTTCTGTTCCTGAGATGCAACAGACCACCTGGGTCGTAGGTGGTGGGGAGGGGGGAAGGGTGTAGTTACACAATCATAGTGAATAATGTTTGCTCTGTTTGGTGGCACTGTTAGTACCAGGTCAGCTGGAAGAGATCTCCACAGACTTGGTGCAGTTAGTGTAATGTAAAGACCACACACCTGCCCCTCCTGTGAGATCTATACTGCCTTTCTCTTTGTAGAATAATTGCCTGCACGCACACACCCTTCTGGTCTTCAGGTGGGGACTCTGCACTAATTCAGAGCCTGGTCATTTTTCTGCATGACTGGGGTGGAAGGCACGTTCACGGCCTCAGATGCTGTTTACTCTGACCTGTATATTGTAAACTGTATATAAGTGACTCAGTCTTGTCATTTAGATCTTTTTTCTGCCTACAGAAGATGAATATGAGTCTGAATCATCATGTCTAAATAGAGCTATCAGCACCCAGGTGTTGATAGCTTATGTGGCTATTTACACCCTG